GTTATTGTCCAATCGATGGAGAGCTGAGAGACAATGATAGACAACAAACGACTGGTACTCTGCACTCAGGGACTTCAACCTATCACAGTCCATGTCAACCTCGTCCTTCGGAAGGCTTTCGACAGTCGAGGCTCGGCAGATATAAACCATCTGGCTGGTCCCATCAATCCTTGTAATCACCTAATATGCTATGGAAAATTCGTTTACACCAGATCAAAGAGACAACGAACCTCCTTGGAATCGATAACGTCCTTTAATTCAACTCGCGATTTATCGTATAGGGAATAGGGCATTTTGAAGTACTAGATCCAGTAGTCAGTATTAGCAGGATTGAGTAGGCTCGAAACACTCACAGTGATGCCACGATCATTGAAATCATCCAGCGTTTTCTGAAGTTGACCGGAGACAACTAGTAGAAAGCAACGTTAGGTCTGCTAAGGGAACGGGATGAAGATAATCTACACGTACTGGACAAGGCACTATGAGCCTTTTCACCTGTTCCAGAATGAGAAGACCCTATCAGGGATGTGGCTGCGGTTTGAGACGAGGACGTCCACTCGTCGGTGGCAGCGGAGGAGTCACTTCCATCGTCAGAAGGACTGTGTGGTGCTGTTGATAAATCAGAGGGAGTCGCATTCTCAATCGATGTATTCATGGTAGAAGAATAAACAGTACGATGCCACAGAACGGACAAGAATGAGGTGTTCGCAGGGGAAGCTTGACGAAAAGGGGTGCCACATCTATGCTGTTATATGAGTGCATGCGTGCGAACCTTCCAGAAATACTCCTTCCTTTCTTAGCTGTATTGTCACCGCAGAAGGATCATGTCAAGATGTGTTATGTGAAATTATGTGAGGGTTACATATAATCTAATATGTATTGATTTAGGTTTGTAGCTTGATGTCGATCACTTTTATGTGCCTTGTTTGTGCTGAGGTAGTTGCCTGTATGGTCACTTAAAGCTGCATAAAAACTGTTTCCAGCTATACACAGGTTTCGCACACATGTACTGATTTTACAATAGTACAACCATAGTACAGCAGTGTCAGATGACCCCAGAAGAAAACCCTTGCCCAGATCCATCAATGTTCCTGCACTTCCATTACAAATCTCCTTTCTCCATCATGGAGTCTAGAAACACGCACATATGTGCCCCTGTCTTTTGTCAGTACTAGAGCACTAGCCAAAATAAATATATCTCATTATGACCTATTAAATGACTGAGACGCCTAGGAAACCTGAGTACTCTGAAGAAGATTACTATCTTGGTCACTGATACTCAGAGTACTCCTGGTTCCTTGGTTTCACAATACTACAACACTATACTAATAAAAGTAAGCACTTTGCCTACTCATAGGCTGCAGTGTGACTAATACTGCTCTCACTTTCCAAGTTCACAGAAGTATTAGGTGACGTCTACTATGTAGCATGGACTTGTAGAGTAGCACTTTTGCTATAACAGACAGGCTGCTTCTTAATCAATGCATCTTAGAGTGCCCATAATGTCCCAAGAGTTATTGGCTTTCCTTTACTGCTTAAACTTAAAGGTCTATCTGGTAGGACACTGTCCATCCTTATTTCATTTCCAAATATCACAATCCTTCTATCAGCAATCTAGGGGATTCTTGCCTGTTGTGCATTGAATATTATGCAAATATACAGAAGTCTGGCACAATACTTGCTTCCCTCCTGTGAAGCATCTCTGCCATGATATATAAATGTCCTTTGACCAATGTATTTCAAAAGAAATTTATCCTTTGCTTGCATACACAACCAAGCCTCCCTTACTGTGCCTAGACAAACAATACAATGCCTCTCCCATTACATGAGAGAATTAGGGACATTATTGCCAACACATTCTGTAACACCCTCAACTCTATTGTCCCTGGAGGATACAGTGCATCTAACATTATTGCTGACAGGAAAATGTACCAAGTTAGTCTTGAATGTCTCCTTTTTGTTTATTACTATGTACTGTAGCTTATACATTTGTTAGCTGGACTATAACGTGTTGTTTGTTGTTCCCCACCAGCCAGTCTACAACCCTAGACTGGACGAGCGCAAATACGATTGGATTCCAGACTTAGCACTATCTGTCGACAGTCATCCAAGATTCATTGTCAAGATTGCAACCACACAAAGTAAGGCTTCCTTGGACAATCAGAGCCTCGATTGGTTTTGACTGCACACCCTCGACACATTGATATCCATTAATGCCATGGAGTCTGTTGCGTTTCCATTCCACAATTTCCCTGTTGCCAATGCTACACTCCCTGAACTGACAATCAGAGAGTTTGTGGAAACTCAAGTGCATATAATAGGCATGACAGTATAGGATGTTGAAGGGTACTTCTGTGCTTTCATTTCACCTATAAGCCTCAAGATGAATATATTTTGGTGCAAGTGTGATAATAATGGAAGAATTCAAATAAGAAGTACTGGCCTGGTACGTCTTATTTAAATTGCTTGTAAACACTGTGCTAACAGACACTTAGATAAGTACTAATCAACACGGACTTGAAATGCTGAATGCAGTCCTTGCTTTCTGTTGTCATGAACTGCAGCAGAGGCTGCAGCTTCACAATAATTTCAATCTTCAGATTAATGTTGCAGGTTGGTATGCAGGTTTCTGCCTCCTGACTAATGAAGTTGCATACATTCAGTACATCGAATGGAAAAAAAAACGTCTGCCAGCTGATGGACCATACACTGAAAATGTTCTGTTATAATAGACTAAATTGGGCAAGCTGTTTCCATTCGTGCTTTGTGTATAAATTCTGCATTCCTATAGACAGCATCTCATAGACCAATACATGTATGCTTACTCAAACAGACTGCGTTCCAATTGTAATTCGTTGAATGTCTTTAATTACATCATGATTTGAACACTTAGAAAAAAATGCCAATAAGGTGCCACGGCTTTGAGACCCCTTTCAATGATAGGCATCACCTGAAATAAACTCTGCCTTATACAAAACAGCTCACCAATGCGCCCAGCACTTGAGACAATCGTTTACTTAGTGCACTACCAGCTACCGTGATAAAGACGCCAAAGCTCGCGCATTGAATGCGGTCATGCAAGATGCAACTAAGGTAGGAATGCGGATAGGTAAGACCATCACGAAAAAGTCTTAACAGTTGTATTAGATTATAATCTAGTATTTTTTTTACTTTTTGTAAATTTTGTAAAAGTGATAATAACTTAGATAGTGGTTTTCACAAGTCAATTATAATCTAGTACAAGTAAAGCAAGAATCCAGAATAGTTATTAAAATTACTGATATTAATTATGATTGTACATATTGTCAAGATATACAAGTGATTATAACATACCTCCTGAAATAATAATGTTAGAATATACTTATCAAATTTTAACAGTATAGTATCCTCTTACAATTTATACCAGTCATTACAAGCATTTGAATAGCTTGTTTGGCTTTGCTTACAAATTTGTATTAAATAATTAATAAAATATAATTATATTTGATTATAGAATACAAAAGGATAGTAAATAATACATTATTTCTACAATCCCAATCCCTGCACCACCAGCAGCCTCTGTCTCGTTCTTTCGCGAGTGGAGTTCGTGTCAATAAGGATTAATGCGTTCTTGGGCTGTTCGATGTAGTCTCGTCACCGGG